TGGCCTAGTAATAAAATAGTAAAGTTTTAAAGATTAATAAAAATTAGTTTTCAACTGAGATTTAAATATACAAAAAAATAACTACATACTAAAAAAAACAACAATTAAATACATTAATATGTATTAATTCAATAAAAAGTCTGTTTGAATAAATTAGTTTTCAAATGAGGTAACAGATTGAGGTTTGTCAATAAAATATGGTAATTTATACCATATAATAAGTTTTCAAATGAAATTTAAAGATACATTATGGGAGATTAGATAAAGAGCTGGCAGTTCTCACTATAATAGTTAAAAACTAGATAATGTAAAGAGAATTTACTGAAAATTTCAGTCAAGTTTTCAAATGAGATTTAAAGATCCGATACATTATGGGAGATAAGAAAAAGAGCTGGCAGTTCTCACTATAATAGTTAAAAACTAGATAATGTAAAGGGAATTTACTTAAAATTTTAGTCAAATTAATGCACTTTGAACCGAGAATTTAGCGATTGAATTTTGGGCCTAGCCTCGATCATCATTACTAAAGTCGGTACAATAAAAAAAATAGTCTCAATTGTCCATTTCTGGATTAAATCATCAATGAGCATTGAGATATTGGATTATAATCCAGTAAATATCATAAGGTCTGTCATTGTGAAGTCAATTGCCGTGGTTTCGATTCCCCGGTTGTACGTGACAAGGTGTAGGGTCACCTGTCCAATCCTGTGGATTTTTCCCGGCTCCTCTGGTTTCCTCCAGCTACTAAAGACCCCTACGAGCAAGCGAATTATAGAAATAAAATGAACCATATGTGTTAGTCTTGAAATGACCTAGTTTGTATGACTGGATTTAATCTCTCTCTCTCTCTCTCTCTCTCTCTCTCTCTCTCTCTCTCTCTCTCTCTCATGGATTATATATAAAGTTGTTGTGTAAAGTTTTGAGATTTGGTAGGTGAACCTGTTCATGAACGTTGAGTATATGTAAGTATATGTAATGACTTTATTATAGGCAGGTAGATCTATAGGTAGAATTATATAACAGGTAAACTTATAGGTAATTATGATATAATGCATGGTATATTAACTGTATTTATATTCTGTGTTAGTTGACATAGTCAATATTGATTCTCTGTTTAATTAGTTGACATAGTCCATATTGTTTATATTCTCTGTTTAATTAGTGGACATAGTCAATATTGACTAGTTATTATGATTAGGTTTTCTCACTTTGTGTTGTAATACACATATAGCACGGCAGTCGAACCCAATCTCTCTTGCAAAAATTACAGTGTGAGAGAGCCAATGTCCACTCAACTTAAACGTCATTTTGGGACTAATATATGGTTCAATTTTATTTCAATAATTCGCTTGCCCGTAGGGGTCTTTAGCAGTGGAAGGAATTCGGAGAATCCGATCCGGAGAAAACCCACAAGGTTGGACGGACGACCCTGCTCCTTCTCACAAACAAGTGGGGAAATGAAACTGTGCCACTTTACTCATGATCTATGGTTCAAATTTATTTCAATAATTCGCTTGCACATAGGGGCCTTTAGCAGTGGGATGAAACCAGAGGATCCACAGAAAACTCACAAGATTGGACAGATGACCCTGGTCCTTCTCACATACAAGCGGGGAAACGAAAGTATGCCACTTGACTGGATGATAGACCTTTAAACTATTGGATCTGCCAGCCCCGCGGTAATTAGAATTGTAAACAAGACAATTATTACTAGAAATTGTTTTGCTGTTTTTCTATGATAAACACATGTAAGAACTGAGATGAACTGTGGAATAATCTCTGGTTCTTCTTGTTGATGATAAACAACAGGCTCCGAGTTCACAAAGCATTCTCAGACTTAAGTTCAGAATTTACTCAAAATTGTTCACCTTATTTTAAAGATACATGTACAGTATGGGAGATTCAATAACGAGTTGGCAGTTAAAAACTAGATAATGTAAAGGCAATTTGCTGAAAATTTCATTCAAATTGATCCACATTTGAAATTTCCGCCTAGCCTCTATCATCATTACTAAAGTCAGTACGATATATAAACAGCATAGTCTCGATTATCCATTTAATCGTTAAATTGTGACGGAAAGTTATGCAGTAAATCGGCGCATAATCCACTTAAGATTGCAGGCTAGCGATGCCATATAGAGTTTATGGTCTTGATAAGTTAATTAATGTGTAATTAATAATTTAGATAATATTTCAAGCCTAAAGAAAGACGTGCAATAGGCAGATTTAGCTCTTGCATAATGTATGTTTAACTAAAATATAGAACTTTATAAAACTTTTGTTGTTTTAAGGTATCAAATACATCAATAAGAAACGATGTGCAAAGGTTTTTGTTTCTGGATCAAAAATATTTCTCATAAACAGTGAATGGAAGTTGAGTAAATTCTTTACTTAAGTCTGAGAAGATTCGAATGCTTTGTGAACTTGGAACCTGTTTAATACAATTTTAAAATTGGCTTCGTACTTATAACAGTGTCGCCTTTGGCTTAATTTCTTGGCTGTTTCTTCAAGCAAATTTACCAAATGAAATGAGGTTTATAACGTTCTACTGTTCTGCTCCTATACTGGGATAATGAAGACACGCATACGCCATACAGTGTGCTATGAGGGAAATTATAACTGTATTCCCTTTGGCTTTGGTATCTAACCTATTGCTTCAAGTACAGTACTAGAGTGAACTTTGTGATAATGAAGGGTAGTGGAAATAATATTGGGATCAACGTCCTTCTTTTATTCTGCATCAACCAGGCTATAATGATTGCGGGCACACACACCACACTTTTTTACAAATTTCAACTGCCAAGGCTTCTTTTATGTGTACACCAACACATACGCGGGATAAAATGAAATGAAATGGGGTTCTACTCCAACTGGGACTGTTCTGCTTCGACTGGGCTAATGAAGATAGGCATACTATAAGGGAAATTTTGCCTGGACAGCGGCTATATTCCAACTGCCAATGAATCTTTTAACTGCACGGGACCTCGGTTTTTGATCCCATCCGAACGACTAGACAGCTGTCCTTCTCAGGCCCTCTGTTCTGCACCTCTGACAAGGGGAAACCACATCAAAAAATCCTGATGAACTTTCTCTTAAACAAAATATATTTTATTTAATAATTGTATCCAAGAAAATTTAAAAACAGATAGTACTTGATCACTTTTCTCAAAAACTTCTAATTCCATATTTTTAAGTTTTTAAATTTTAAACAAAATAAAGTATTCACTGGATTCGATTGGCTATGTATTGATCAATACTCTAGAGGAACTGTGATATAAATAGGTTACGCCTTACCTCACACGCTGTAAAATATTAATCAACTATTTAAACCGAGATGACCTTTCACCCTAATCTCTCACTAATCTCTCACTAATCTCTCCCTAATCCCTTCCCAGATTCCTGTATATTAATAACTTATATTACACAGATTCATTTTAGGCCACACAGATTAGATTGTCTATTCTTCAGGCCACACGGGGAGGGGAGGGGTGTGGATGGCCGAATGGTTAGCACACGCGCTGTATCATGCGGTCTGTCATTGAGTCAACTAGCAGGGTTCCGATTCCCCTGTTGTACGTGATAAGGAGTTGGGTCGCCTGTCCAACCTTGTGGGTTTTCTCCGGGTCCTCCGGTTTCCTCCCCCTGCTAAAGACCCCTTCGCGCAAGCGAATTATTGAAATAAAATTGAACCATATATTAGTCCCAAAATGACCTGGTTTGTGTCAAGTGGATGTTAAACCCCATTTCTCTCTCTGTACTTTTACAACAGTACAAGATGGCTGACCCTTTAATATCATGCCCAGTATAGTTCTTTGGTGCAATATATCCTGGTTGGAGCTGACGTGCCATTAAACAACCTTTCATTCATTCATTCCAGTATAGTTCTACGGGGGGAATGTCACATCCGAATGTTTACCAATGACACAATATAGTCTGGGCAAAATTGACGCCTTTTACTCATTTTACGCCTCTACGTACTATTGTATGTACCCATTTACACTAAACAGGAAATATTTTTTATCCAGACTTACTTCCAACACCTTTATTTTCATTTTGCAGAAGAACAAAGATTAATATCGAGGACTACTTAACTCACCCGATTACATCCCTTTCAGTGGATTAGTTTTTCACAATATATAGAGGGAAATAAGAAATTTGTTTGTTATTAATGGAAATATTTAAATTTATTTTTATTTTCAGTGATAGGTAGTTCAGCTTTAACGTTATTTATGAAAAGGATAAAAATTTGAATGTTTTTATTTTCAGTGATAATGGTGATAGTTAGTTCAGCTTTATTGTTGTTAATGGAAATAATAACTTTAAATGTTTTTATTTTCAGTGATAAATGGTGATAGATAGTTCAGCTTTATTGTTGTTAATGGAAATAATAAATTGGAATATTTTTATTTTCAGTGATAAATGGTGATAGATAGTTCAGCTTTATTGTTGTTAATGGAAATAATAACTTTAAATGTTTTTATTTTCAGTGATAAATGGTGATAGGTAGTTCAGCTTTATTGTTGTTAATGGAAATAATAACTTTAAATGTTTTTATTTTCAGTGATAAATGGTGATAGGTAGTTCAGCTTTATTGTTGTTAATGGAAATAATAACTTTAAATGTTTTTATTTTCAGTGATAAATGGTGATAGGTAGTTCAGCTTTATTGTTGTTAATGGAAATAATAACTTTAAATGTTTTTATTTTCAGTGACAAATGGTGATAGGTAGTTCAGCTTTATTGTTGTTAATGGAAATAATAAATTGGAATCTTTTTATTTTCAGTGATAATGGTGATAGGTAGTTCAGCTTTATTGTTGTTAATGGAAATAATAACTTTAAATGTTTTTATTTTCAGTGACAAATGGTGATAGGTAGTTCAGCGTTATTGTTGTTAATGGAAATAATAAATTGGAATCTTTTTATTTTCAGTGATAATGATGATAGGTAGTTCAGCTTTAATGTTTATGGAAATAATAAATTGGAATCTTTTTATTTTCAGTGATAATGGTGATAGGTAGTTCAGCTTTAACGGGTGCCGTCATGTTGCTGGGTCCGAACATCAACTGGCTTCAGTCTCATTCTCTTCCCATCTCTCTACCGTCTCTCTCCCTCCCGACGTCAAAGACGACCATATTTGATTTCTTCACCGGCCGTTATCCTGCACCACAGTCATGTACGGTCGATTGGGATTGGGAGGAACCAATGATTGTAGGAAAAACTGTTTCATTCAGAATCAAGGTGAGTTCACAAATTTTATTTTAATTGCTTGATCCATGGTGATATATTTAACAGATCTTTTGACTGCCCAGCGATCGTGATAAACAATATTTTAAAGCAGTTCCAAATATTATTTGTTAGTCTCATGATTTTTTGTACTGTGTTGATATATTTAAAAAGCCTTTTGACTGCCCAGGGATCATGATTTCTAGGGTTTTCTGAATGGTTTAACATCTGCCTGTTACATCATAATGTCTGTCATTGAGTCAAGTCAGACGTGCTTTTGATTCCTAGCTTGTACATAACAAAGATCGAGTTGGGTCACCTATCCAACCTCTTTAATTTTCTCTGGGTCCTCCGGTTTCTTTTGCCCCTAAAAATTCTATACTTAAACCCAAAAAGACCAAAAAGACCAAGTTTGTGTCGGGTGAACATTACACCTAGAAATTCTATATTTAAACCCAAAAAGACAAAGTTTGTGTCGGGTGAACATTACACCTAGAAAATTCTATACTTAAACCCAAAAAGATGAAGTTTGTGTCGAGTGGAGGTTAAACTCTCTCTCTCTCTCTCCCTCTCTCTCTCTCTCTCTATCTCTCTCTCTCTCTGGCTTGATTCTGTTGATTACTAGTATTACTATTTCCATCTTTGTCTGACTTTCTAGACAGTGACCTTATTATATCGTAATCTTCATCCATCTTTCATGGCCGAAAGGAAATATTAAATCAGTACTTACCGGTCAGACGAGCGAGCGTAAATCAATAACACAAATACATTTATCTCTAATAATACCCTAGTCACAAAACATACTAGTTTGTTCCAGAATTGACTACAAACTTCTTTGTATTGTAAAAGGTCTGTCATTAAGTCAACTGGCGTGGTTTTGATTCCCCGGTTGTACGTGACAAGCAGTAGGTCACCTGTCCAACCCCATGGGTTTTCTCCGGGTCCCCGGGTTTCCTCCCACTGCTAAAGACCCACGAAATAAAATTGAACCATGTCTTAATCCCAAAATGACCTAGTTTGTGTCTCTCTCTCTTTGTATTGTTTATCAATGTCTTCATGGTTCCAGTCCTGCATATCTATCAGGGCTAATAAACCGTTACATACCACCCCCTACAGAAAAGACCACAAGATTTGTGCTTATTACACATTCCAAAGTATAATCTACAAACTTTCGGTTCTAGAACATTCCAGTACAGTGCACCTATATTGTAAAATTCTTTACCCCATCACCTTAAAACAACTCCATCACTTGAATCTTTTAAAACAAAACTAAAAACTCATCTATTTACCAGTGTATTTTAGCTAGAATGGATCAAGATATGTGTGTAAATAGTGACCATAGAGTATGCATTTGTGGATGGATTGGTGCTTTACAAATATAGCGCTTTACAAATATACATTATTATTATTATTATTATTAGACAGAAATTCCACAAATTTTTTTTATTGATCATAATAGAATCGTGATCTCAATAGACGTAACTTAATAAGGGTTTTGTTTCAGTTTTATATCCTAGTCTCGTTCACAAAGATCTACTTGAATTTATTTTTATTGATCTTAAAAATTCTAGCTCTGAAACTGCGCAGCTGTAACTGAATTAAACAGGGCTCTTGCTTGAGTTATATCTCCCGGTCGTAGCTGACTGGCTCGAGAACTTACCTGTGAATTAAGTCTGGCCATAAAATCTGACTTTTCAAAGAGTTTAACCTTAAAGTAAATTTATTGACATAATGCTAAAAATTGACATTATGATAATGCTAAAAAAATTGACATAATGCTAAAATTGACATAATGCTAAAATTGACATAATGCTAAAATTGACATAATGCTAAAATTGACATTGACATAATGCTAAAATTGACATAATGCTAAAATTGACATAATGCTAAAATTGACATATTATGGATACTGCTAAAAATAGACATATTTGTAAAAAGAAAATATCTTGCTATTGTGAAAAAAAATCCATGTACATCCAAAAAATTGTCAGGTTGTCATAAGTTTGAATTTAAAGGCCTTGAAGATACATAACCAAAAAGAAAGAAGACACGGCAGCATTTGGACTTTTTTTTTTGGTTTGTTTTTGCTTGTGGTTCAGTGAACTAGGCACTTGGTCACTTACCAGGACGTCCCAAGTTCAGTCTCTGTGTTATCTGAGAAATTAGAATGAGATATTAACCTGGAAATATTACTGTATGTTAGTCACAAATTAACCCGTATAAAATGTCGCCGATTGTATTAAACCCCAAAAATTCTGTTACACATACAAAATAACATAAAACGTAGACAAATATTTTAAAGGAGCTCCCAATATTACTTGTTAGTCTCAAAATAAATTATGTACTGACGAGACCCCAAACTCCCCAAAATAAATTATGTACTGACGAGACCCCAAACTCCCCAAAATAAATTATGTACTGACGAGACCCCAAACTCCCCAAAATAAATTATGTAAAATAGTGAATGGGACGTCAAAGTCCCCAAAATAGATTATGTAAAATAGTGACGAGACGTCAAACTACCCAAAATAAATTACCGGTATGTAAAATAGTGACGAGACGTCAAACTCCCCAAAATAGATTATGTAAAATAGTGACAAGACGCCAAACTCCCCAAAATAAATTATGTAAAAAAACTGAGACGCCAAACTCCCCAAATCCCCACAGGTTACCCTCAAAATAATGAAAGTGAAATTCCAATCAGGTTTTAAACCTCTTTCCTCGATAGAAGAGTTAAGAATACTTTATGTAAAGTACTGAAGAGACGACAAACTCCCAAAATTACCAGATGTTACTCCCAAAATAACATAAGTAAAATTTTTGGTGAGATTTTAAACCTTTTTCCTCGATAGAAGAATTAAAAATGATTTATGTAAAGTACTGACAAGATGGCATACTCCCCAAATTACCACATGCTACTCCCAAAATAACATAAGTAAAATTTCTGATGAAATTTTAAACCCCTTTCCACAATAGAAGAATTAAGAATAATTTAATGGAGATCAGGAAATAAACGTAATTCTATTTATTCTATTACCACGGAGATCAATTAGATCTGATTAGATTGTGAAATCCACCCTCGTTACCCCCACTACGATTTAGACCATTATACTAATTGTTTATTCTCCCTCGTCGTGTCAATTTGTTCCAAGCATGTTAAATCATCAGTCTCCACGATCGACATGGGTTATAAATTTAATGAGTTTTCTCGGAATATTGGTTTATCTCTTGAGAGAGCTTGTCAAACAGCCTAAAACTAAGATTTATTTTTGACCGTTATTATTAGCCGTGGTATACGAGCTGTTGCATACAAGTGAGATTCTGGCGGTAAAATATAGCTTGTTATCGTGTTCGATAAATCGTTATATTATATCAATGTGTACGTTGTCGAAAAAGTAAAGAAAGTTGCAGGTTTCTTTAATGGATTGAACAAATTAAAGTGATGAATCAGGATAGGACGGACGTTGCTCTAAATCTCGCAAATGTCATATTGTCTTGGGTCACGATAAATTCTCGATCAGTTTTCGCTTTTCAATCAACGAAACGAGATCTCCGCGGACGAGCCGACTGAAATAACAGTCTGATGTCGAATTTTAAATTGAGCAGGATAGACATTTTTGTAGACGTTCGTATTTTTTCGAGTATGAAACTGATTTATAGACGAGCCAATTTAAAGTTAAAAGCAGAAGCTTCTTTTAAATTTGGCTATGAAATATTGGAAATGTATATGAGACGCGCTGTCGGAGGAAATTTCAGAGTTTAAATTTTGTTTATGGATGCGTTAACCTGATACGACAAGTGAATATGTCGATTTTAACTGGATTAGAAAATTTCCGCTAAATAAACCAGAAGAGGAAATGTAAATTTGTCAAGCTTGTGTTACATTAAGATCCGTCTCGAGTGAGTATCGAAAAACAGATAATATTTTCAAGCGAACCCAGAAAAGTAGTGTGATATTATTGACATTTGCAACTTCAGTGAATTTTTCCAAGATATTTTAAGTGCTTTTCTAATGGAAATGAATTTTAGTGGAGCTGTGAATTTTTTATTTAATTGAAGATCTTCGAGAAAGTTGACAATGGAATGCTTGACGTAAAGAATAGAACAATATCTTTGTTGAATCTCAGGAATGTAATGATTTTTATTGAATATTGCACGATGCTGTTGACATTAAAATCCATTTTAGTGTCTTTTCGATGATCTGCAGTCATTATTTTAACATGTTTATAAAAATCTAATTAATTGTTTAGTCAAAGAAAGAATAAAATGCTTGGTATGGATTTCAAACTTTAGGATGTTTTTGTTGGTTAAAATCTGCACAAAACAAATTTTTTTAATATTTTAATCATCAGGCGGGAGTGTAAGTATCGTGTTTCTCAAAGATTCTGTCCATTTTTCCGAAAATATCGAATTTTTCATGGCTTAATCCAGGCCAAGATTAAGTTATTATTTTATTAAAGATGCTTTATGGAAGATTAGGTAAAGAGCTGGAAGTTCTCACTGTAATGGTTAAAGTTAGATAATGTGAAGGGAATATGCTGAAAATTTTAGTCAAATTGCTTTACTCTAAGCCGAGAAAACCTTATTTTAAAATCTCTGTACCGTTGATTGTCGTTGTTACCGCTGTCACAATAATTAAAATCGGTTATCCAGTTTTGGTGTTAATCATCAATGCAAGGGCATAAAGCAGCAGATCAGATTCAAATCTAATGAAAATTGGACACATAAGATGGCATCGAGAGTTGATTATTGTTTTCATAAATTAATTAATGTCTAATTAATAATTTAGATAACATCTCAGGCCTAAAGAAAGGCCTGCAGTAGGAAGATTTAGCTCTTGCATAATGTATGTTTAATGATGAAAAATTTTATATTTGTCATATCTTGATAAATACTGAACAGAAATGAACCATTTTTAGACTGATATTCCTGTTAGAAATTCAACTTTGACCATATTGTAGGTTACAAGGGATTCCTCAATCCCTTAAATGAAAACCAGAGACTTTTATATTTAACACTAAAAATAAAATGGTTTTGCGGGTTCTACTTTTCAGCACCAACCTCCTTAAGCTGATCATCATTATGCTATTATGGAAATTCCAACTGTCAAGCTTTCTTTTGCATGCAAGTCATCTGGATTTGATTTTTCCATCCCATCCAAAAGAGTAGACACTGTCCCTGCCAGGGGGTTGGATGGCCGAATGGTTAGCATGTGCGCACAGCATCATAAGGTCTGTCATTGAGTCAACTGGTGTGGTATCGATTCCCTGGTTGTGACAAAGAGTAGGGTTGCCTGTTCAACCTCGTGGATTTTCCCTGTGTCATCTGGTTTCCTCCCTAAAGAGCCCTACGTGCAAGGGAATTATTGAAATAAAATTGAACCATGTGTTAGTCCCGAAATTACCTAGTTTGTGTTGAGTGGACTTACCCCCTCTCTCTCTCTCTCTCTCTCTCTCTCTCTCTCTCTCTCTCATTCTCTCTGTCTCTCACTCTCTGTCCTTGCCAGTTCCTCTATTGTACACCTCTGAAAAGGGGGAACCACGAATCCAGAGGACTTTATTCAGCCAACACTCGGATTGCTGCCAGGATCTTCTAGTTAGGGATCAACAGAGCTATATATAGGTGCCCGATGCACTGAACAACTATGATTTCCATTAGTTTTAATTCATATCGATAAATACTAAAAAATTACTAGAATTTGAATAGTAAAATGAGAGCGACTTCATGATCCACAGCTATATAATTTATTTTATTGTATAAAGATAGGAGTCAAGAAGCTTAGATAATAAATGTTTAGATGTTACAAGTTTATTTTTTTCACACTTGGCTGTATTATATTTACTTAGGATGTGAATAGAGCTGATTTATAAAACCTCACCAGGAATCTCTCCCGTCTTTAGAAACATCGCTATAACCTAGTGACCTATCTCTCGTTAAAACTGGTTGAAGCAAATGAAACATGTTTCCATTGATTTCCGAGAGTTTGTCTTTAGAACTAGTTATAACCTTTTGACTTTATTCCCATAAACATTGGAACAGTTTTTAACATTTATCACTGGAAACCGGGTATCATTTAATCTTGTGTATCTAGCATTAAATTATTTCACATTCGTTTAATGACAAATCTATGTTTAAAATTTTGTAAAAATCATTTAAAATCATCCAAAATCATCTAATTTGTACTGGTGTCCAGTTTGTAGCTGTTCAGTTGGGTTGTTTATTTTTTAACAGTGATCTAGAAATTAAACACTTGTAAATTATAAGCTCATTATCAAAATTGAATGGTCAGCTTTAGATTGGACCCAAGTCAAAATTTTATGATGTTTGGTGATTTTAACAAAGAAATGGTTAGTGTGTGTGTGTGCTGTATCATAAGGTCTGTCATTGAGTCAAATTGCATGGTTTCGAATCCCTGGTTGTGTACGTGACGAGGAGTAGGGTAGCCTGTCCAATCTTGTGGATTTTCTCTGGGTCCATCGGTTTCCTCCCACTGTTAAAGACCCCAACATGCAAGTGAATTATTGAAATAAAAAAATTAAACCATATGTTAGTCCCGAAATGACCTAGTTTGTGTCGAGTGGACCTTAAACCCAATTCTCTCTCTCTCTCTCTCTCTCTCTCTCTCTCTCTCTCTCTCTCTCTATCTCTCACTCTCTTTCTCTGTCCTTGCCAGTCCCTCCATTGTACACCTCTGAAAAGGGGGAACCACAAATCCAGAGGAACTCTGTCTCTCTGTCTCTGTCTCTGTCTCTCTCTGTATTTTATAAAATCATTATTTGATGGTTTTACTGATTTTAAATGTTGTGTTGCTTTAGGTTAATGTTATATCCAAGGCTGATTGAATTACAATGATATCAAATCAGTTAATAACCAGTGTTTGTTGATCTTGTCAACTTCAATTGATCAAAATATAAATCAGACGAAGCCAAGTTGTAAATATGTTGATACACAGTGAAACCGTACCACTTTTATGAATGGGATTCTAAATCTCGTTTGAGGGACCTCGGTTGTACGTGACAAAGAGTTGGGTCGCTTGTCCATTCTTGTCGATTTTCTCCGGGTCCTCCAGTTTCCCCCCACTGCTAATTACCCCTACGCTCAAGCGAATTATTGAAGTAAAATTGAACCACATGTTAATACAGAAATTACCTACTTTGTGTCGAGTGGAGGTTAAACCCCCCTCTCTCTCTCTCTCTCTCTCTCTCTCCCTCCCTCCCTCCCTCTCTCTCTCCCTCCCTCTCTCTTGTTTGAGGGATACATTTAAATCTTGAAATTATAAATGTAACAACATCAAATCACAAGCATAGCATGTGAGAGAATCTTTTTTTATGATCGCATATAAACACAATAAATTGAATTAGACAGAACGGAACTGCTGGAAATCATGAATTAATGGTGCAGCTTCCCCTCCTTCCACATCATACGCATGTCAATAGAGTTGATTAGAGGCTTGTCATGCGAATAAATGTCTAAATAATAGTTTATTTAACATTTGATGGCAAAATAAAGACCTGCAATAGGCAGATTTAGCTCTTACATAACGCATCGTTAAATAGCAATGGAAGGTTATATATTGGCGCTATTCCCTGAGGATGGCGATGACCTCTAGTGACCCAATTCCAACCGCTGGCCGATTCTGATCAAATGGATTAAGAACAATATTCTGGGGGACCATGTATAAATTTTTTGGATCCAAGTAAACTGATTGATTTGTTGACTATTAATCATATTTAATAACGATACATGATCATGTTCCTCTCATATCATGCTTAATGTTTTCATGAAGTAGTTTGTATTGGATGTTATCATCAGCCTTGAGGTCGCTGTATTTGGATTCATAGTCAAAGTGACACAGCAATATTAGGAATATTCAATCTGGAGATCGCCATTTAAGATATTTTCGTTTCCTAACAAACTATATGTGAAAGTTGTGACTATCCACTGTTGATGTTTTAGTTTGGTTTTTTTCATTGTTAAATGCTAACGACACATTACACAAGAGGTAAATCTGCCTATTGTGGATCTTTTTTTAGGCCTGAAATGTTTTCTAAAAATTGGACATTATTTAAGTTATCCAGACCATAATCAACTCTCGATGCCATTGTTAGCCTGTGATGTTTACTGGATTTGAATACAATTTGTGATGGTTGATTTAAAGTAAATATGGATAATCAAGACTTTGTTTTTTTATCGTACTGATTTTAGTATTGATGATCGAGGCTAGGCCCAAAATTCAATCGCTAAATTCTCGGTTCAAAGTGCATTAATTTGACTAAAATTCAATCGCTAATATCTCGGTTCAGAGTGGAGCAATTTAACTGAAATTTTCAGCGTATCCAGACTATAATCAACTCTTGATGCCATTGTTAGCCTGTGATGTTTACTGGATTTGAATACAATTTGTGATGGTTGATTTAAAGTAAATATGGATAATCAAGACTTTGTTTTTTTATCGTACTGATTTTAGTATTGATGATCGAGGCTAGGCCTAAAATTCAATCGCTAATATCTCGGTGCAGAGTTGGGCAATTTAACTGAAATTTTCAGCATATTCTCTTTACGTTATCTATTTGTTAACTATTATAGTGACAACTGTCAACTCTTTATCTAATCTCCCATAATGCTCCTTTAAATGATCAATTTCACTACAATTTAGCGTTGATCAAGTCGTGGAAAATTTGATATTGTTTGCATACTTTTATTTGCTTTTCTTAATCAAATTTCAAACGATGAGTTTGAGTACATTTTAACATTGATTAGATAAGTATGAAAAATTAAATATAGTCTGAAAAGTGCATGTTTGAGATCAAAGACATTTAATGGTATTTTAATTAAATTTCAGTTTTTTCTGAAGAATGGCAAGATCTATCCTGTTACATCACACGATAATATCTTGGTGGAGATCATGCACCAGGGAGTTAAAGTGGCCCACAACATGGAGTCTGGTTTTAAAGAACCTGATTCATCAAACATGGCTAAAGTTAGTTTTACGGTACACAAGTCAGGAACTTATAATATCTCAGTGATGATCGGAGCACGACACATAAAGGGTAGCCCCTTTAACAAGGTCTTTGAAGCAGGTAAGGATATTTATAGATATGGGGATTTGAGCGTGGATTTTGAATATGATGCTGGATCACGAACAAGGAGGTTCCGAGGTAGATCATGTTATATTGGGAGATGCTAATTGTAGGCCGGTTGGGGAGGTTCAGGTATTTCCGAAGTCCATAATGGACACTTTATAGAAATTTGTAATTTTAGAAATACTAACCCTACCCCTAACCCAAAGCCTTTTAAGAGGAGTAAAAGGTAAATCAGATCCAGACGCTAGATCACGAACAAGGAGGTTCCGAGGTAGATCATGTTATATTGAGAGATGCTAATTGTAGGCCAGTTTCAGAGGTTCGCATAATACCAGAGTCGAAAATGGCCACTTTATATAAATGAGTATTTAATACTTACCCTAACCCTTTTAAGAGGGGTAAATGGTAAATTAGATCCAAGTTCAGTCTTCTAAAAAGGTTTAGGGTTAGTATTCCCCAAAAATTTGCATTTTTATAAAGCGACCATCTTGGACTTCGGAAACACCCGAACCTCCCCAACCAGCCTACAATTAGCATCTCCCTGGTATATTTTCTCCTTGTCTGTTGTGCAGCGAAAAGTGCCTAGTCAATAGGATGAAACTAAAAACGGTAGTCCTATGTTGATTATTGGCAGCACTAATCTGGAGGTTCTGACCGGGGAATTCCAATGGTTTCTCCTGGTCAGTTGTGTGGCAAAAAGTGCCTAGTCAATCGGAAGGGACAAAAATGGAAGTCCTGTGTTGATTATAGGCAGCACTAATCTGGAGGTTCTGACCGGGGAATTCCAATGGTTTCTCCTGGTCAGTTGTGTGGCAAAAAGTGCCTAGTCAATCGGAAGGGACAAAAATGGAAGTCCTGTGTTGATTATTGGCAGCACTAATCTGGAGGTTCAGTGTTTGATCCAGATTTTGACCAAGGAATCCTGACGGTTTTTCCTTATCAATTGTGTGGCAAAAAGTGCCTAATCAATCGGAAGGGACTCAAAATGGAGGTCCCTTTTATTCTATTGGCAGCACGGCAGGTTCTGGGATCCATTCTGGTATTGACTGAGAAAGTTTGTTGGGATTTGGCCCGCCTGGTTCCCCCTTGTTATGTAGGAACAGACACCTAGATTTTTGGCTTTTAGTGTTTGTATCATTTGCAGCGCTAATCAGGGAGTCCGGGATTTGATCCTAGCAGTATTGTCTGTATCATTTGCAACGCTAATCAGGGGTTCCTGGATTTGATCCCAGCATTGACTGAGACAGTTAGTTATGATTTTCCTCATAAGAATTCTAGTATTGCATGGATTTAATCAGTAAATTATATATTTTTAGGACCAGTTGATGCGGGTAAAACTGGGTTTATGAATTATAGTTCCACAGTCGTGTGTACGGCTGGTTCCTCACATCCTCTAACCATAGAAACCAGAGATAGTTTTGGTAACCTAGCAACATATAAAACAGATCAGAGTAATTACTTTAAAATAAAAGTAACAGAGGTAGGTTATTTCATTTTTATTAATGTCCACATGGAAATGTGGTCGTATATTGCCGTCGCCCCCGTCCGTCTGAGTAACAGAGGTGGGTTATTTCGTTTTATTAAAATGGGAATGGGGGCCGAGAAAATAATATGAAATGAAATGGGGTTTAATGACCCCCTACATTTGAGCACCAACTGGGCTAATGGACATATGCCATACACTTCCTGTTCATCAAATTCGAAATACACCATAGGATGGGATGGGAATTAAAGGGAAAGTGAAATGAATTGAGATGAGTGTTTAACATCCAATGATTTTGAAAAAATAACACTATAAACCTCAGAATGCCTCGTTCGGCATTTTTATCCAAATGTGGCAAAAACGTGTTAAAATTTTTGACACAACGTTGTAACGTGGCAAAAACAAAATACCACATTTGTCATCATCCAGAACGCGGTTATATAATAAGTCTTCCAGATCCTAGTGTAGTAAAACAAAATTTTGAACTATAAAAAACGAAACGAAAAAGGATCTGTGTTTTATATAGATTGCTTGATGGACAACTTCTTAATCCAAGCTGGTTGATATTTTGATTTATTAAGTGAATGTTAAATAAATTATATACCATGAAAATAAGTTATATTACCACGAAAATAAATTATATTACCACAAAAAATAAAATAAGTTATATTACCATGAAAATAAGTTTTATTACCATGGAAATAAGTTATATTACCACGAAAATGAATTATATTACCACAAAAAATAAGATAAGTTATATTACCACGAAAATGAATTATATTACCACAAAAAATAAAATAAGTTATATTACCATGAAAATAAGTTATATTACCACGAAAATAAATTATATTACCACAAAAAATAAAATAAGTTATATTATCATGAAAATAAATTATATACCATGAAAATAAGTTATATTACCACGAAAATAAATTAAATTACCACAAAAAATAAAATAAATTATATTACCATGAAAATAAGTTATATTACCATGAAAATAAGTTATATTACCACGAAAATAAATTATATTAACACAAAAAATAAAATAAGTTATATTACCATGAAAATAAGTTATATTACCACGAAAATAAATTATATTACCACAAAAAATAAAATAAGTTATATTATCATGAAAATAAATTATATACCATGAAAATAAGTTATATTACCACGAAAATAAGTTATATCACCACGAAAATAAGTTATATCAGCACGAAAATAAGTTATATTACCACGAAAATATATTACCATGAAAATAAATAATACTACCCCGATCCAGTAGGCCTAAATATCTCAATCTATAATATATATTATTTTATTTTAGGCTGGGACGCACACACGTTATATCCCCACAACTCAGATTTATTACGATCCAGTCGGAAAACGTTTAACTATGCATATAAAGATGGATCGTCCAGGCTGTTTTCAAGCTCAAGTTAGTTACGGTGACATCAAGTTAAAGAATGGAGATTTTAATATACTAGTTCTAAGTCGTAAGTCAACAATTTTTTTATATAATCATTCTTGATTCTTGATTTGATATGTTTGGTTCCTTATTGTTTTTATTGTATGTCTGGAAGATGTGTTTGTTTGCTTGTTGTTTGAGGTGTCTGTGTATATCGCGTGTCATGTCCACGGGTTTGTCCTGTGTAATTATTTATGTGTGGTGCGGTCCTCCTACGCTTACTATTAAACACTCAGAGTGTGATTTTAGCTCTCTAGGAAGCCCTTGCAATCACGTTTTGGAATATGTCCAAAAATGATTTAATGTGTGTGGTATATTATGTGTCATGTCCGCGGGTTTGTCTTGCATAATTGTTTATGTGTGATTACTATTAAACACTAAGGATGTGATTTTAGCACTACAGGAACCCTATGGACGCTACAATGCCGTGAAAGGTGAATCTCTAACAGGAATATCAGTCCAATAATGGTTCCATTCTGTTCTGTAATTACCAAGTTATGATGAATTTTAAGCTTATTAATATGAATATTAGTTCTATATATGGTGCCATTCCGTTCTGTAATTACAAAGATATGATGAATTAAAAATTGTATGGATCTCTGCTTGTTATGTAACAAGAACCCCACCATTTTTATGTGCTGTGAACCAGATTAATGGGCCTGTAATTTATCCGATTGAATCCAAGCCGCGGAATTATCTAGTTTTGGTATTTCGATGTTCTTAATTAAATGTTATATAATCAATCTTGAGTACATATTAGCGTGGATTAATCCGTGAAAATTTTTTTCGACAAAATGCAAATCATGCATCATTACTTTAAAAATAACTACAATGGAATTATCAAAATAAAAAATTGCTAACAATCTAACCGATCAATTGACAACCCCTGTAAGCGAGTTACCGACCCTTGAATTAAATTCTTCAGCCCAGCTAAGAGGCCAACCTGGATAACTTTGCCAATTTGTGACCATGGTAATGCCACCAGGATTTAGAAATACTGTAAATAAAAGCCTGCCAGGTGAGTCCAATCTGAAGAGTTCACTACAAACGAAATTACGGTAGTTGGGGTCTTATAAAAAAATTTTTTATTATATTTATAACAGCTGATGAAATGGTCCATGTTAGTAAAAATTTAATCAAAAAAACTCACAGTATTTGGTATGAGGCTCGTCTAATATCGTATAACCACGAGAAGTTGGATCGACCGAAGAAAGTTTACGTTTATGTATCACCAAAGGTAAGTGATAGCTATGATTGATTCTTTCCAGAAAGGGGAGCCATGGTAGCTAGCCTGGAGGTAGCGTGTTCGATCCTTGCATTGGCTTAGAAAGTTCATCAGGATTTTCAGACATGATTTCCTCCTGTCAGTGGTGCTGTCTAGTCGTTCGGATGGGACAGAAAACCGAGGTCCCGTGTGTACATTGGCATGCACGTAAAAGATCCCTTTGCAGTTGGAATTCAATGTACAATAATTTATATGAAAGTATATCATATCTACAGCCCGGAAAATTTGACGATTTATACAAGGATCCCCATCTCAAAACTGTTAATGGTAATCAGTAGAAATCATATTGAAATGAAATGAAATGAAATGGAGTTTAACGTCTTTCTTTTCTGCTCCTATACTGGGCTAATGAAGACGGGCATACGCCATACAGTGTGCTATGAGGGAAATTTTGCCTGGGCAGCGGCACTATCGCCTACTCTTATATCAAATTCCAACTGCCAGGGGGTCTTTTTCGTGCATTGCAATATATACATGGGACCTCGGTTTTTCGTATCATCCGAAGGACTTTACAGCTGTCCTTGTCAGGTCCTCCGTCCTGCATCACTGACAAGGGGGAACCACATCTTCATATTAAACATTAGACATTAATTAACTGATCCAGGCCATAATCAACTCTCGATGCCATCGAGATATATATATGACAAATTATTATATTTATTTTTTTTTTTTTTTTTTTTACAGCAATTAACACTCAAGGAATTTTATTTTAAAATAATAGGAAAAAAGTTGTATACTTTTAGAGTTTGTCCTTCAACCAAGGTTAGTCACATATTGTTACGTCATTGATATAAGGCCCTATCACAATTATTTGTCAAAATCACTTTTTTACCTTTTTGAAATCAAGATTACCATTTTAACACAGTTGTATCAAATACAATATTGGACATCATAATTGTTACTTGTGCAGTTTTGCCTACTATCCTTTGATTTCCGATTGTGACAGGCTGTTTTATATGTACGTCTATGGTCACACAGATGGACCTCTACGTTTCATCCAATCTAAATGTCTTAGAATTTATAAAGCCCATCTTTCCTCCATTTCTTAAAAAAAATAATATTTAATGTAGATATTTTCTATGATATTCTACCTGTTTTGTATTTTTTTCCTGTGTTATATTTAATTTTAGTTATTTTTTAAAATGTATATCGGTAATCTATATTTTTTATACCGCATGTTAATAATAATGTATTAGTTTTTTATACAAGTGCCACGGAGCAGCTGTACAAGCTGGATTTTGGCGCTAAGGTTCGATAAATTATTATTATTATTAAAATTAATCTTTTCTCTTTTTTTTGTAGTTTTATTTTAATGGCTATAACAATCATTATGACGCTCCAACGTTTATGATTGACGACGGATCTCAGCCCCCGATAGTTATAGCTGCCAAAGATAGAAATGTTATAGCGGCCACATTTACTAGCTTTCTGCTCAAAAATATAGGTAAGTTTTACTTCTAGTATTGGGTTGTAAATTTCAAACCTATTTAGGAGACGGGGTGTGGGGGGGCGGGAGAGGGGGGACAGCCGAATGGTTAACATGTGCACGCTGTATGATAAGGTCTGTCATTGAGTCAACTGCCGTGGTTTCGAATCCCCTATTGTACGTGACAAGGAGTAGGGTCGCCTGTCCAACCTCGTGAGTTTTCTCCGGGTCCTCCAGTTTCCTCCCACT